ACATCGAACTTGCAATGAGCATATAAATTCCGTGTGACTATGTTTTAGGGAGTTTTGTACAAATGGCGCTTAGAATTGTGGACTTTCATTCACTGAACACTTCTATTTTCGTGCCTAGAAATGCAGTGTAACATGATCAAGTTTTGCATGTGATTTCACAACACGTAGTCAACGAAAGTAAATAGACAAAGAAAATGAATGTTACCTACGGCTGCCCTCTGAATGCTGCGTAATTAAGGTCCCGTCAACTTATTACACGACTCGGGCAGTCAGAGGGCCAATAACTAAAATCAACCAATCAAAATGCTCTATTGCCGGTCAATATTCTCTCAGTATTGGACCGGGCACTGTCCCGAATGGTCCCGAATGATACCGCACTTGTGTCCCTTTGAACTTCAGTCGTATAATAACTCTCTTATTAACCAAGCTTGCTCGGGACCGTACTGGAAGAATATCGGCCCTCGGTCTTTTTTGTACGGACCGAGCGCAGCTCGGTCCGTACTGTCAAGACCTCAGGCCAATATTCTCCCAGTACGGCCCTTGCGCTTGGTTAATAAGATATATGTATTGTAGTTTTCCTATACTGCTTCTTGAATTTCTTTTCTTTTCTGCTTTCCTGGACCTTCTTCAAGATCATGGTCTAATAGTTCCCTTTTGGCCTTCATGTGAAACACTGCTTCATATGGTGTCATGTTGATAGCACGATGATAAGTAATGTTCATGATGTAGGATGCTTGCATTGTGTACTTGCACCATTTGGAAATTTGGAGACCACATGCGCTCATTATCAAGCTTCTCGTGTTTTCTTTGAATGTAAGATTTGACTGTTCCACTAGCCCTTGAGTTGTCGGAGTCCTGGTTGCTCCATGGAGAAGTTGGATCTGATTAGTGCTACAAAATGCTTTCATTTTATTGTTTTCAAATTCACCTCCATTATCTGTTAAAATTTTTTTGGGGTAGCCATAAGTTAAACAATACTTTTGAACTTCATTCAGTACTTCATCAGCAATTTTGTTATGGATAGGGTGAACATTAACAAACTTTGTGCGGTGATCAATAATATTTATAGTCCACTTGTGCTTTGGTTCACATTCACATGGGCAATTTCTGAAATCCATAAGATTAACTTCTATCAAAGAAAGGAATGTTTCAGCTTGAAGAGGACTTACCATGGGTTTCACCCTGGTGGTTATGGGTTTTTGCTCTGCGTGAAAACGGCAAAGAGAAGCAAAAGTATTCACAACTTTCTGTGTTACTTTGGAATAATTCTCAGCAATCCATATCTCAGTTTTTTGTTGTCCTCTGTGAGCAATTCTATTATGGCATTTAGAGAGTATATTCAAGAGCATTCCTTTATGTGCAACTTCTCTCCCTTCTGAGGTTAATAACTTCCCATTTGCACATTTCCACTTTTTTCGCTTGATTGTGTTGATTTCAGCCTTTGAAAGCTCCAGTGTTTTGACCAAAGGTGCAATGTCAAGCTCTTGTTCTCTGACTACTTTGAGATAATTCCTCACTCGATGATAGAACTCTTCTTCGACAAACACATTTACTGACGATTTGTTTGTCTTTAAAGACTCTTTTAAGCCTTTAATTTTGGCTTCAAACGTTTCTTTAGAAACACAATTGGCAATTTCATCCAAGGCCTCCATGCCTCACTAGCTAGAAATGGGCCTGTGCAGATTTGTTTAATATATGCAATATGAATGAATTACGATATTGATGTAGAGGAGCCTGAGACGAATGGGTAATAATAAGAGAAAGAAATAAGAGTGAAATTGCAACGATTGCTTGCGTGGTCAAGTGGATAAGGAAGACTACTGCAAATCCAAAAGGTTGGGAGTTCTAATCCTGGTGAGTACTTAGAGATATAAAGAAAGGGAAAAAAGGTATAGTTAGATATTATGGGAGGTTAGATGAAAGGTAATGAGAGGGGTTTGGAAAGAGTAGATTCAGGAAGGAAATAACAGTATAAGGAGGGAGGGGTGGTTGTTGAACTTAAAAATAAACTGAATAAAGAAATTTTCTTATAAGCACAAATTCTTTTTAAGAACCCCCCCAAAAAGCCAAGCCCCTATTTTTCAACCACACCCCAAAAAAGGAAGGCCCTTTTTCAGACAGTTGATAACAGAACTGGTTTAAAAAATTCAAACCAAAGGTAAAATCTGAACCACAACATATACATAAAAAAATAAAAAAAAAAAATAAAAAAATTGAACTCTGTAACTCTCAAGAGTGTTTTGCTTATGATTTCTCCTTGAATCAAATGTGAAGGTTGAGAGAACACAGAAAACAATCACTAATTTGATTAAGAATCTTCTAACTGTCAAACAACATCTCCTTCTTAGTACCACAGGAAATGTTATCGGAACAGAGTGGAGAACAAATAGATATTAACGTAATGCAGTAAATGGTTTGAACCCGGGGGTAACATGTGAAGGTGTAGTCTGATCGTCCGGTTGACTTGACTCTGATGATGACTTCCGCACAGGTTGTCGAAACGTCAGTCACTGCCACCGACAACAGTCCTTCTCAGGACTACACTCACCCGGATGATCAGACTACACCTTCAAATAGATATTAAGTTGTAAAGAACTAAGCAATTTTTGTGGTATTTTAACAATACACTTTTACGAATTAAGAAAATTGATCTGCTCGGAATTCTGTGATAATTTTTAACCATTCATTGAATTAAGGACCAATGGAAGATTGCACAAGAAAAGCGGAAATCAGATTTGGAGAAAAAATATCAAGAAAATGCAGCAGATTTTGGATTAGGACATAGGACCGCTTCCGAGGTACTTTATAGAAAAGGATTCAATTTACAAATTAATTATTTTTTCCACATGAGAATGGTGATGTTTTTATTAAGGATATTGAGATAATTTTGCCTTTTTTTTTTTTAAGGATCAAACAAACTATTCTAAACCAGAGATGACTAAGGAGGAAAGACAAAGGTACTTTCAGTTTTTTTTTGTGTGAGAAGCTTGTTAACCCTTTAACCTCTCAGAGTGATACCCATTGAATTTCTTCTTACAGTATCACCCCCAAAATCAAACATGAATGTCACACAAATAAAGAAAATAATCACTAACTAAAGCAGCTCTTGATTGTTATACAAATTCTCCTTGTCAGCACCATAGGAAATGTATAAAGGACAGTATGGAGAATTTACATGCTCATGTTAGGGTGTGAGAGATTGGTGAGCCCTTACAATAGAGGCAAGGTGACCTAACAAATAATGCAATGGACTCTGGAGTAAGGTCTGGGTCCAAGTCTTGGGTCCCAGTCCTGACTAGGTTGATACTTTACTCTCACCATGCCTCTCTCTACCTAGGAGTTTAAATGAGTATCAGTGAACTGTCAGGGAAGCTTGATGGCATAGCAAGCATTGGAATAGCAAGCCAATCAAGAAGGGGGGAGTTTTGTCGTACTACTTACAGAAATGGGATATTTACCAACAGTTATGGCCCTTGATCTCTTAGACTTATGGTAACCCTTTTGAGTGACCTAGACAGAATTTCTCCATACAATACCAATACAAAATCAATCATACAAGTAATGAGAATAGAGAAAAATATCATTCAGAGGATGATTAGTTGATCTGATTCTAAATTCTCGGCACTATTATAACAAGAATTGTATAGCAGACAGTAACAAGAATTATAAATGAGATCTTGGAGGTGGAATGGGTTAACTTAGTTACAGGTTTCTTTGGGTCATTTTCTTTAGTAAAGAGACTTTTGTGAACTCTTCCAATGCAAGAATTCCATGAAAAATATATTTCCTTCACCAAACATATGGTATCTTTAATTGTCCTTTCTTTTTATCAGAGGTACTAACTTGACTCTCAACTGCTTTTACTTTGTGGTGATATTATATTTTAGGGCATTAGAGAGATATGAGAAAGCAGTAGAACAGGTAAAGGGTGTAACATACCTGTGGTAGACATCTTTTTAAGCATTGGAACACATTTTTCTGGGCTCTGTAATGTATCAAAGCCAGGTGGGATGTTGGAAGAACATGAGGAAAGCTTATAGATCGTGAGCCAAAGGTGAGTGATTTATTAGCTTTCCCAGTGTTCTTGCAGCATCTTAAGTGGCTTTATCACGTTATAGAACCTGCAAAAAATGCTTTCTAATTTGCTTTTATAACAGAACTAGTTACATGCGATAAAGCTTCCACTTGGAAACCGAATTCACTGATGGGACAATGCATACTACGTTCAGTATGTTATAATCTTTGGTGGTTTTCAATAACCTTCAACAGTTGCCACCGTCAGTGTTTCTAGAAACTTGACGTCTAAATTTAACAAAGAAAAGGTTGACGAAATGGGTAGAAGACAAGATGGGATCCCAGAATTTTTGGCCGCTTAAATATGAAGGGTTGTGAACAAATAGACAGGAGAAGGGGGGGGGGGGAAGGCACTTGATGTTAAGCCATCATGATCATTAGGAGATGTTTTGATGTTGCATTGAAGGAAGAGTGCTTCTAAGTGCATGTGGCAATCAGCGTTCCAATGAAAAGCTATGATTTCCTGTTATTTTTAGCTCATGTATGAGAGGGCTAAGATGACTCAGTCAGAGAGAGAACGCACTAAAGCAAGGTATCATTCTTCTTGTGATTTACAATTGTGATTTCTGATCTGTGTTGAAATTCTCCCTCTTTGGTGTCCCTAGACAGTCTCTTCAAGAAAATTATAATTATAATTCAGATTCTCTCTCCAAGGCTGTGCTCTAAGGAGAATTGAATGGAACCCATTGCTTTGAAACTGTGAAATCCAGGGTTCCCAGCACATGCTTTGTATGAAAAAACTAAAACGTCTGAGTTGCTCAAGAGCAAAAGTAAGGTGCCAGGGGCCACTGGGCGCTGCTAGACTACAGCCTTGCTCTCCTACCCCCCACCCTAGGTCCTGGAGATATGTGGATTGTAAAAACTGGGGTATCTTCATCAGATGGAAGAAACCTTTCTATGCTCTCATATTGTTTGCTTCACTTTTATTAATATTTCTTCATTACAGAAATTTTCATTATTTTAGTTATTTTTTTATTCACTTTCTTACCCCTTTTAGGCAGTTAGCCTTAAAGATTGAACGTCAAAGAGCAGCAAGGGTGGCAGCTTTACCTCCAACAGTTGATCCCCTTAAGGTAAAGCAACTTTTGAGTATGGCTAAGGAATCGTCTGGTGCAAAATATTTCAAAGCACCTTGAATTCATCCAAATTTCAACTCTGTCAATGTTCGATTTGATTTTGCTCTGACGAAGGGTTAGCACTCCAAACATCAGTTTTAGAAACTCAACTCAGTTGATAAAACCAAATTATCTTTTAATACCCCCACCCTGCAATGCTGCACCACAGTTTGTCTAGAAACTATAAACACCTCTTTTTATCTATTTGATTTATTTTATCTTGAGTTCTAAATCAAAACTAACATTATGGAGATTGCTAGTAATAGTTTAATAATCAAATGATTTCTCAGGCAGTTTAGATCAAACAAGTACTTATTATACTTAGAAAACCCAACCGGCTTGTAAAGTATTTTTTTAGTTGCCAAAAAAAAAAGGAGTGCTTAGAATCATGTTTTATCCCTAAGTGGTCCAAAATAATGCCTGTGTAACTATAGATACACTAATCTGGTAGAAACAAATATGTGAAAATAAATTGTCTCATGGCTGTTTCATTGATAATATTGCGTAAATTTTAATAAAAATATTTAAATTCTACTTTCCATTTTTTTTTCTAGGACTTAAGCCAGGAGAAAGGTGCGTGAACAAAACATAATTAATTTGTTTGTGGGTTCTCGATCTTGATCAACCATTCTTTTCAAAATTTTTTTCTTTATGGTTTGTGACAATGTATTTTTCATGCTTGTTCTTTTACCAAGACCAACCGCCTTCTGACAAGAAGAAATTTGACAACTACAGTACATCACGGTTTCATTTAAAGCCCACTGTTCTTGTAGAACGAGATATGGATCCAAGTCAGGTAAACGTTTACATGATCAACAACCATTTTTCCAACGGGCAGAACAAGCCTAATTTTTTTACATTTATCAGGAAAACAAGGCAAATGTGAGACAAGTGCAAAGGATGAGTCATGTGTGAGGGACAAATCACAGGATAAATGTTTTGCACTCCCCTACTTGACTTGTAGCTGCCTCTGTTCACCTGAAAAAATGCCAAAAAATCAGGCTTGTGCTGCAGAACCATTTTTCAAAGTTAACTAAGAGGAAGCAGGGCAATCTGCCTTTGAATGTCTCTCTTACCACTGAGTTTTCTATGACTTCGACTTTGTTAAGAACGACTCAATAAATCCGTGGTTAAACTCAAAGTTTTACTATATTCTGACTAAGGACAAAACCTCCTTGGCGAATACTCGATCTTCACAAGGCAAAATCTCGAACGAAGTAAAAGTACTTGACATTTGATCCCTGTCACTCATTTTAAAAATACCATAAAATTTTTGTAATGCAACGTCACGTTCTCCTGAACAGACTTAATAATTATTTCCCAAAGGGGAGAACTCTACTCCACTGATTTCTTACAAGTCTAAATGTTTTACTCCTACAGGAAGATGCTAGAGAAGCTGCAAAAGATGAAGAAGAAAAAATTCGAATAATCATGGAGGTCCCCATCCTTGAGTTTAAATTTTCATTAATTGGTAGTCAAGCAAAAATCACACTGTCTTAATCCTTTTTACCTCTAACAGTGATCAGCATCTAATTTCTTCTTACAATATCACCCCTGAATCACTCTTTAAATGTCATGAGAATTAAGGAAATAATCACCAACTAAAGATTAAAGCTCTTGATTGTTTAACAAATTCTCCTTGTTAGCACCTCAGGAAATGTATAGGGAAAAGAATGGAGAATATACATAGTCATGTTAGAGTGATATTGTAGGGCTGTGGTCCAGCAGTGCTTGGTGGCCCGTGATACCTTATTTTCGCTCTTGAACAACTCAAGAATCTTAGTTTTTTCATAAAAAGCATATGCTGGGCACCCTGGATTTCACAGTTTCAGAGCACTGGGCTCCCTTCAATTTTTCTTAGAGTACAGCCTTGTATTGTGAAGGTTTCGTCTGAGTTTCATGATTCCATCTCTTTTTTTCTGTTATGGTAGGAGGTTCAACGTGGAAAAGCTGAACAGACTGAGAAAGCCAGACTGAGACACAAACATGCTTTGGCGCAGCTACAGTTGGAAGAAGTGAGAACTTGAAGCACTTTTCATTTTTAAGAAATTTTTCCAGGAAACATCCTCCATTCACTGGGAGTCAGACTTGGTCCCAACCAAACAAGCACTCTTACAACCATTGCAGAGTGCACCAAAATATTTGCCCTGATGGTCCAAATAACCAAAAATTCTGCATAGACAAGGATATCTCTGACATGATATTTCTATCGCACATTTACGTTTTCTTTTCACCCAACATTAACATCACAGAATGTACTGATTTTTTCAATGAGTTTATGGTTTTGCAATCTATGTGTTTTGGTAGGATCACAAACGACTGATGGAAGAACTGGACAGTTTGGAGAGATGTGATCGCCAGCGGAGGCAAGAAGCTGTGGCTAGGATCCCTGTAAGTGTTCTTGATTGTTGTTCTAACCATTTTTCACTGCATTACCGCAGTACGGTAGGACTAGAACAGAACATATGCTAACCATGCGAGTAGTCCACCGAATAAATCCCACCCATCCCACCCCAGGGGAGGACATCCATCACACAGTAATCTCGTGTGTGGGAAATTAACATCTCCTACCCCTAACCCTGTAGGAGATGAGACCTCCACTTATTCATCCCTATCCGAGAAGACTAGAATATCTAACCATTTCTTGATGTTATTAGAAAGGTAGCATATTCTTCTCAATTATTTTAAGACCTTGAGTGTTGGTCTGGCCGGGGCTTGAACCTTCGACCTCCCACACAACAGTCCAGCGCTCTATCCATTGAGCTAACCGGGAGGCGATCAAACCTTATCAGATTGTTGTAGACTTCTTGCATTTTCTTTAACCACTTAGGAGTGATCAAGACAGAGTTTCTCCTTACACTATCAATACAACATCAAGCAGACAAGTGATGGGAATAAAGGAAAATATCAATCAGGGGATTATTAGTTGATCCAATACCAAATTCTCCAAACTAACATCATAAGAATTGTATAGCAGACAGTAAGGAGAGTTACTAAATGAGATCTTGGCAGTGAAAGGGCTAAAAACCATGTTTTCTGAAACAAAAGAATATTTACAGGTATTGGTTGAACTGCATTTCACATTGCCAGGTATACTGGGCTTACTACATTGCAAGCAGTGCATGGTTTGCCTTTGTGTTACTCCATGAAAGAGAAGTTTCTGTGGATAAAAAATTTGTATCTCTGTAGGTGCGCATATTTCAGCCTCCACACAAAAGATTGGAAGATGCAGAGGATCGCCAAAGAGACTTGGAGCAAGCATTTGAGGACATGTACATGATGCACACAGGTTGGAGTTTTTGATTTAGATATTCTCTTTATATTTCATGCTATAGCCTGCTTGCAGGCAGTGGTTTGTGTTTTCAAGCGCGAGATTCAGCCTGGTGAACATTTGGTTGCCATATTGACAAGTAGAGGATTTGGTAGGGGTGACAAAGCGCTTTGTCACTCGTCCCAGATCTTCTCTGTCCAAAATGGTGACCAAATATTTGCTGTACTGAATCTCGCACCTGAAAGCATGAACTACCACCCTCAAGCAGGCTATTCATGTCAAAGTTTCCAGGTGCTATTTGTTCTGGAGAGTATTTACAAACAGTTGAACCTCTCAATGGCCACCTTGAGGACAGAAGAAAGTGGCCATTGTAGAGAGGTGGCCACTGAAGACATTTAGTGGTTAGTGGAGGTTTGACTGCAGTGCTTTTCATGCTTCTCAGACTACACAGGTGATCTCACTGTTGCACTGGAACCTCCTGAGCATCTAAGACCCGCATCAGCAGATAGCCTCCTGTCTGGTGAGTATTACACCAAAAGTGGTTTAAAATACAGGTTGGAGTAACAGTTGTTTATTATGTGGTCTGATTGTCTGCTTGAGAATAGTTCTGAGAGACTGTTTTTTGTTAACTAAAGTGACTGACAACTCAACAACTTGAGCAGACGAAATCTTCAGATTGTCAGTTGGGTGTAAGAGGTCTGTTTTTTTTGTTGTTGTGGTAATGTCATCGACAAACAAACTAGATAGAATCACTTAATACCTACTGACAGATTAAAACTGTCCAATCATGAGCGATGTAATGTTCTAGAGCTTAACAACCAGTAACATCATTACAAAACTGACCAATGAACTCTTCCCTTAAGTCTGATGAGGATGAAAACTGTCCAATCATGAGCGATGTAATGTTCTAGAGCTTAACAACCAGTAACATCATTACAAAACTGACCAGTGAACTCTTCCCTTAAGTCTGATGAGGACTCATCACTCGGGTTGTCAGAATTTCAGTCACTGTTATTGACAAATATTCATCTGTGGCCTGGTTAGCTCAGGTTATAGACTGTTGGACTGCAGCATGGGAGGTCAAGGGCTAAAGCCCCTGACGAGACCAACACTTAGGGTCTTGAAATAATTGAGAAGAATGTGCTGCTATTGCTACAATGTATGCAAATGGTTTGTCGTTCTGGTCTTCTCACGCAAGGACAATAACCTGTAGGCCCCATCTCCTGTGGCAGGAGATGTGAAAGAACCCAGGCACTTCTAGCAAAGAGTAAGGAGCCTAGCGCCCAGTATCATGGTCTGGTCTCATTTCCGAAAATTGGGGGCCGCTGCAAAATTTCCTTTCAAACTTGTAAACTGCTTAATGCAGTCCAGCTAAGGTGCATCAAAGCATAATCATTTTATTGATAATGTGCTTTACAAATGCCTTGTCATAATGATCTTAGAACCACTCGCACTCTGATGATCAGACTATACAACCAAGTGAGTTTACCTTTCATTTTTAACCCATTAACTTCCATCAGAGACCAAGACAAAATTTGTCATTACAGTATAAATACAATTTCACACAGACAAGTGATGATAAGCTAATTATGATAAAGGATATAATAAAGATATGAAAAAGAAAGAATCAAGTAGCGAATCATTAATTGATCCAATACCAAATTCTCATAACAAAAATAACAAAAAGAAATTTTATGGCAGACAGTAAGGAGAATTACTAATGAGATCTTGGAAGTGGAAGGGTTAAATTGGAAAAAAAAATTCCAGATATGTTATGGTTAATGTCTTTTTTTGCAGAGAGTGATCAAGGATCTGCTGAGTCAGTAGGAGCAAAAAAGGTGTGATAACTGAGAATCAGTGCAGAGCTTTGATGTCTGATCTAGGCTTTGGCTCATCATTTGTAGGATAAGTGCAGGTCTCATGTCTAAGATCATGTCTATGTTACTTTCCTTGATGAGGTGTTTATCTGATTTAAGCTTTGGCTCATCATTTGAAGGATAATTGCAGGTCTACTTTCCTTGATGAGGCATTACTCATTCCAACATGCTCATTTTCTTTCCTTCCCCAGAAAGTGTTTCATGAAAAAAATTTATTTCATATGGACAAAGGCACTTTAAGAAATAATGAGAAGTGTATCACAAAAGAGGGGGTCACAGTGACCTTATAGTCAGTGTGCTGGACTCCAGGTTGAGAGAGGTCTGGGGTCAAGAGGTTTGGATTTGAGATCTGGCTGGGTCTTTGTGTTGTAATCTTGGACAAGACACTTTACTCTCACAGTGCCTCTCTTCACCCAGGAGTAGAAATGAGTGCTGGAAAATTGTCAGGAAATCCTGATGAATTGCTGGGGGGGGGGCGGACTTGTGATAGACTAGTGTCCCATCCAGGGGGGAGTAGTAATACTCCTAGCTGCTTCATGCTACGTGCAAGTTGGGAAAAGCTCTCTCTGTTGGACCAGTAGGCTCAAGTACAGACTTCACCTTGTCACAATATAACTCTAGTTCTTTCAGAGAGTTCTTATGCACATTCCTGGTTTTCATCCCTATTACAACTTCCTGAAAATTCTACTTTTAATTAGCTTTGTACACTCTTTTAAAGACATCAGCCTCTAACCCCACAGCTGTAATTTTTAATAATCTCACATAGAGTGGGTATATCATATCCTGGTCCACCTTTCCTAAGGGCCATGCAGTCAGTGAGGCAAGAGATAATCTTTAGAGGCTAGGTATTGGTAATTCCTACGTGGTTGATCACTTCCACTGTTTTTTAATTTAGTTTCTTACCCTGTTGTTCCTCTCACAAGAAATCAATAGCAAACATTTGATTTCATTTTCTAATAACTTTTCCAACAGCCACCACAACCACCTGATGCAGTTGTTCCTGATGAGAGCTCAGAAGGAGTGGGACATGGTGCTGAGCCTGAGGCTGGGCCAGAAATCGCACCCTCAGGCCATGGTGCCCCAAAGGGGCCTTCTGAAGGTGTACCCCCTGCAGATCCACTGCGACGACTCTTAAAAAGGATTGAAAGGCAGCGTGACCAGTGGAAGGAAAGACAGCCCCCAGAAGGAAGGCAACCTCCCAGTGCAGCAGAAACAGGTTGAGATAATGTGGAATGAATTAAATTTTATAAAATAATTTGCATTTTGTGAAGTTGAATGTCATTGTTGCAGCCAGTACAAGTGGACCTTTGTGCAGAGATAGCTGATCAATGGCCAATAGAGTTTTCAATAGAAAGGAAAATATGAAAAAGGTGTGGGGATGGTGATGAGACATCAGGTCACAGAACTATAAAAAAAAAACAAAAAACTAACTTTAACAGCTAACACAATTACTGGTAACCCAGTAGTTTACATTGTGGGCTATAAACAAATAATTCAAATTGAACATAACATTGTTAAGAATCGCAACTGGCCGGAGGCAAACCAGTTGGCTATTTACAAGCATGGCCGAGGATTTGAACTTGGAGCTACTGTGAAACAAATCCAGGTAGTGGTCAGGGCGGGACTCAAACCTGGGAGCGACAGATTGCGTGTCCGACACACTGACCACTCAGCTACGTGGCCTCCAACTGTGGTTTAGAAGTGGCATTGAAGGGTGGAAGGAAGATATCAAGATTGATGGGGTTCTGTGTAGTTGTGTTAGAACCAGGGGAAAACTTATCTCCAGTTTCAAAGTAATATTGAACATTAATATAGTGAGGGGGAAATGTGGATAGACATATAATGCCTGCCAAGAGTGGGTAGGTGTTAAAAGGAGACAATGCTAAAACATAAATTCTGCAAAACATACAAAAGGCACAACAGTGCAAAGAGGCCATTGCCATGTGCTGAAGACATGAAAAGGGGTAATCAAGATTTAGTTGTAATGAGTTGAAATTTTTTCTTTGTTTGTTAATTAGGGTGATCTTTGATTTATTTCATGTTTGAAAGAGCTGTGACATAATTACTGAATGAAAAACTTAAAACCATTTTCATCAGCAATTGATGCCTTTTCAATTTCTACTCTGTCTATCTACTGCTAGGAATTCCTCAATCAGCTGCTGCAACAGTGCTGCCCCAAAGAACCCAGGAATTCAGGTATGATTGCTGAATCAAAGATTAAAATACTCTGAAAATAGTGTTGCTTGTGAACCATATTCTCCCAGGGCATTATGAAACAGAAAACATGTGGGAATTTAGATCCTTGACCCAAGGTTTAAGGATGTGGGAGATGACATGCAATCAGTGGTTCTCTTACTTAGTATTAATTGTGGCAGTCATCAATAGGCAAACCTTTTATTTATAACTAATGCATTCTGTTGCAAATTTTACTGTTACTTTACTTTGTAGATATTGTACAATCTTTTCACCCAATGTGCTGTCTTGGAGAGAATGTATTTCTGTCATGACAAAACCAATTAATGACTGAGAAGAAGACCAAAAAAATGCCAAATATTTTTCTCTCAGGATTCCAGACACTATCCCATTTTCTACCACCCCAGAACAATTCCCTGAAGCCGAATTTTCAGGAGAAGAGGAAGCAACAGAAACTGGGAAGTTTGATGAAGCTGAAATGGAAACAGGGCAGCCAAGGCCAGAAATAGGGCATGAACTTGACAGAGTAAACCCACCAGCAAGTGGTGCACGGACATTGCTCCATCCATTAGAAGCTGCACAACGATCTCGCACCACCACCACCATGGTGAGAGGGGTTTAAATCATTTAGGAACGGCAGGATCAGAGTGCTTATTATGGTTTTGTAGTTAAGCCCTAGTGCTGGAGAAATTCATTCTCAACATGCGAGAACACTGGAGCTTGTTACCTGTTATGGTTTTGTAGTTAAGCCCTAATGCAGGAGAAATTCATTCTCAACATGTGAGAACACTGGAGCTTGTTACCTGTGGTTTGAAGACAACATTTATCATGCAACACCAGTTGGTTTCAATATAAAAAGGATTGCATCTTGTAGTATAATTTAGTAACAACTCATTGTTTCTCTGATTTTATATCAGCCCACAGCACAACTCAGCCAACAAGAAGCTCTTCTGGAGCAACAGAAACTCAAACTGCAACTGCAACAGCAAAATCTTCTACAACAGCAACTAGAGCAGCAATTGCAAGACTACCAGAGGCAACTTGCTGACATTTATGGACATGTGGATATGGATGAAGGTCTATCAGTGCCTGATCAAAGGTCCACTCTGGAAGAGCCATTTACTCATAGCCCCCCTTATGACAGTGACCCATTTCTGACAAACACTGTAAGTCACCTACCCTAAGTTAACTGCAGTTTGCTTTAACTGACTATGGAATTGGAGGTAGACTTGTAATTACAAAAGTGAGATATTTGGTAAAATTAAGTTTTGTCTTCTTTTATTTCAGACTTTAGAGGGAGTAGAGGATACAGAAGGCAAGTCATTTCATGTCCAAGCCTCACACAATTCAGTACCTCAAACAGAAGGACCCAAAAGTCCTTCAACAGGAGGTTCTCCATTGCTTTCTGATGCCCTTGAGTCATCAACATTAGGGAGTGTCACCTCAGATGAATCTGGTATGTCCTCAGATTTGCGAAGAACATTACAAGCAGCACACTTGACAGCAGAAAAGGCTGCTCATTTTAGGACAACAGAGAGGGACATTTTAAAGAAGCCTGACCAGGGACATTTGGATGATTTCCCCTCTAATGGAGGTCAAATGTATTTAGGAACGGACACAGTTTCTGGTGGAGCATCAAGCCCTCAATCTGAGGAGCTTGTTAATGTTTCAACTCCATCAACTCTTTCGCTAAGTGTGACTTTGTCTTCTGATCTGAGTGTGACGGCTGCTGCATCACATACCTCTCACACTGGTCATGTCTTACTTGACACTAGGGGTGTATTTCCACCCACCTTCCAAGGTTGGTCACGATACTCTGACATCAGGGACACAACAAGGATTGCAGCTGCCACATCATTGCTTAATAAGACAAAGGCCTCACAAGGCATAGGTTTTTCTCAGCCATCATCAGCAAGTGTACAGCAATTTTCTGTATTGTCTTCAAGAACTGAGCCATCAACTCACTTTTCCAGAGCTGTGGCACCACCAGTTTTGAGCAGTGGGTTAGCAACAAATATCCCTGGCACCCTGCCATCAGCAATTGTAACTTCTAGTTCTTCAATAGAATCTACAACACCTAAAATGTCTGCTTTTCAACACACTCAATCTGGTTATTCTCCAGGGTATGTAGACTTCTACCAGCAAAAGATGGAAGAAGAACAACAGCTTTTTGAAACTCAAAGAAATCGTGTTCAGCGTCACAGTGACTTGTGTAAAAAAACAAATCCAGGTGGTCTGGGTTCTGACACATACCAGGATGGAGGAAGTGCAAGCAAAAGTGCACCTCCCATAAAACCCTTCACGAAAACAAGCCCCTCTCTTTGGGAGAAACCTGTCAGAGCTCATACATATTTGGGAAGGAACACAGGGTACACAAACAAAGAGAATGTGGGTTTTAGGGCAAATTCTTCAGCATTTATGGGGCAGGACAGATTACAGGCTATCTCAGAGAGGCTTGGTGCCTTTGAAAAAACAATGACCACTGCAGCTAATTCTGCTGTTGTAACCTCATCCAGTTATTCCCAGAAGCCTTTGTCCACAAGTAGAGAGTGGAGTCATGGCTCTGGCACAGAGTATTTATCACTTCCACATGAATCTGAAGGTCAAGATGCTCGGGGCAGCATAGGCTCAACATTTTCTACCTTGTCAGAGCTCACAGAAATGATGACCCGCTTGACTTCCACAAGTGACGAGTCTGAGAGCACATCATCCAAGGCACAGGGAGCATCAGGTGCCTTAGAGGTACATTCTTTTAGTACCCATGGGAGACAAGTAGGCTATGTCCCAGGCAGAGCTTCAATAAAGGGACCTGGCTCATCAATTAGCCAACCATCTCTCACTACCTTTGAAAGAAACATTAATTTAAGAGGCTTATCTGGGGAAGGGCGTTCAGCCTCAAGCACTGTGAGCACTTTAGCTACAACAGCGCCCTTGAATTCAGCACTTACTCGTGTTGCGTTTGAGAAAAGAACAACATCATCGGGTACTGTGGAGCAACCACTGAATTCACAAGGATCACGCTTGACCAGGGGCTCAGATGGGAAGCAATGGTTTGTACTTTCTCGATCACATACTTTGTCATCTGGAGGTGGAATGTTAGAGAAAGATGGAGGCATCCCAGAGGAGGGTGGTGCTGATAATGTGTTCTCTGATGCAAATGAAGGCAAAAGTAAGTCTGTGATCTGTTCAGGAAGAATTTCAAATTTTTTAAAAAATATAAATATTTTATCAACTTTAAGAACTCTGTGGTGGCCAATTCACATTATCAACTCAGTTGATAAAACCAAATTATCTTTTATCTTCGCTCCGATGAAGGGCTAACCCTCGAAACGTCAGCTTTTGTAATCGTTACGGTGGCCAATTTACCATTTCAACTTTGTTGATATATCCAAATTATATCTTTTAGAACTCCCCACTGACTGAGGTATTACAAATGTTTGTAACGTTAAATCACAGCCAGCTGACCACAAAAGACAAAGAAGTCGCAAACTTGATGTTGCTTTTATTTAAACCCAATCAATGCTGTGAAGACGTCTAAATAGTGCATTTCAATATGCTTGAAAAGGCAAAAGGACTGTGTTTTAAAATAATTAATTTCAAGAAAAAAGATTACAAACCCCATTCAAAGAAATTTGGGCTTACATTTGATGATTGAAGGGTTTCTGAAAATATTAGCTCATATAAGCTTTCAAACTAACAAAGCATTTTCTACTCTGAATTGGAGTTGAATACTTTTTGTCTTTTGTACCTCTTTGTGGACTTCATTTCAGTTTCTGGAGTGGCTAAGGTCAGTGACTGATTAGCATACACTCTCAATTACTTCGCATAGCCACCCTGAAAGACGGGAAAAATCAATACCATTTTTGTTACTTGTGAAAACAATTGCATCAGGCTTCTGATTGATCATACTATATTTTTCAGTGGTGGAAAAAATTGTATGACCAATGGGATTGCTTCTCATCAAAGAAAGATGATTTTTATTTGGCAAGTTTGCACTTGGTAAATCTCAGTACTAATATAATAAAGTGTAGTAAGATATGACAAAATTGTTTTCTCCTTTTCTGTATCAAGGTCACTTATTATGTGGAGCAGAGACTGGGTCAGTGGCATCAATTTCCTCAGGAAGTCTTTCATCTACCACAATGCATTCTGGTACTACTGAGGAACCCAATGAAACATCACCCACCAACAGTGAGCCACAAGGACCCACACATTCAATGGTAAGCTTACTTTATGGGGGCTTTGCTGTGGCAAGTGTTTTTCAGTTCAAACTTGAATGAATGTGCTTTCTATCTAACCAATCATGAGCAAGCAGACAATTGATGTAAATTGGGTCCTCAACCTGTTTTGTGTTTAGTGCAGATAATTTTTTAGCTTGGACTCCTAACTGGTCGATGAGTGATGATTCATGGTACCACGTCACCCCCAAAACTGTATTTGGCAAAGTGAGAGATTTTCTCACCATATTTTGTTTCTTTAAACTAAAACAAATACTATCCTGTATTGCAAAATACAAAATGAGCACTGATTCCTTAAATGAAAATGTTCACAGAACATGCAAGGACATACACAGGGGAGTAGGAGAAGGGGTGATATGCTCTAAGTTTATTTTGTTGTTAGAGCAACAGGAACAAGTATTGTCTGTTGTGAAAAGTTATTGTTTTATGGTATCTTGTGTCGTTTTATTTTCAGGTATTTTCTACCTCCCTTGAGACCCCTGGTGATTCCTCTCCATAGGCTGCCTGCACTTAAGAACTAAACCACATACCAAGTGTGGTCAAACATTTGAGATGTTTTGGAAAATTTATGGTAATGGAGTGAGGAAAGCTTTGATAAACATCATGGAAATAATTTGGATATATCAACAAAGTTGAAATGGTAAATTGGCCACCGCAACGATTACAAAAGCTGACGTTTCAAGCTTTAGCCCTTTGTCGGAGCTATTTTGCTCCGACGAAGGGCTAACGCTCGAAACGTCAGCTTTTGTAATCATTATGGTGGCCAATTTACCATTTCAACTTTGTTGATGTATCCAAATTATTTCGTTACTCCCACCGACGCAGCCCCAAACAGTTTCTTTCGAAACTATCAGCCTTTAATCATGGAAATAAACCAATGAAAGAAATGGTCTCCATATTTTTTCAGTAACCACAGAGCATTTGTTGTCTAGGAGTAACTTATTTCATGCAGAGCTTGTATTTTATTCTTAATAACTGTCATCAAACTTGAAAATAAATCCAAGCAATCTAAAGAATTTGTTAGGGTACAGTTAGGAAACACTCCTATAAATCTGAAGGTAATTTTTGTAGGAAACCTTTTTCTTAATAAAGATAGCCTTTGAATCTCACATTTATATAAATATCAATAAAATGATCCAGTCTTTTAAAATTCAGGATAGATAAACTGCCTTTTGTTAACCATGTTGCTGGCCTTCCAAATCATGCACAAGTTGTGTTCTCATTCTTATGTACATTTAAATTATCAAATCGCGATCAAATTTCTGTCCTTCAAATTCTGAATGTAATGGAAGTTGCAACCTTTGAACCATGCTGTTCTCAACTTAAACAATGAAGTCTTTGGAAAATAAATGTACTTAAGAACAGAACTATGGGTGAATTTCCCTTGACCAAAAAAAAAAAAAATTAAATAAAAATAATAAATAAAAGAAAGCTGCATCTTTTTAAAACTAGCTGTTCATATCTTTAACTACGAAGTCTGGAAAATTAAATGTATTGAAGAACAAAACAGAAGATAAATTTATCTCAGCCTAAAATACAAATAATAAATTATTGCTGGGTTGTTGAAACTCCACTGCTAATATTCAAGGTTTCCCCAATGAGTTTAAATGTGCCAGAGTTTGAGAATTCAGAAAATCTTCTGTCCAATGACAGTGATGTCTAAAAACCAAACAAAATTAAAATTTTTCATAATGATAGGATATCAGTAGTAATTAAGTTGTTGTTAATGAAAATATTCTAAGAAAATTGGATTCAAACTGAAGGAGTCATCTGTTACTCACTAGGAGTAGAAAGGGGGTAGTGCCAGCCCATCAAAAACAACCCTTTTTATTATACACCTACACTCTGTAGAGTACAAATAGCACATGGTATTGGTAATCCTGAGAACTGCTTAGACAGGTTTTCTTGCATCGCCCAAGTGACAAATTGGATTGAAGTTACAAAAACAATGGTGAACAATTTAAAACATTTTTCTGACAACCAAGAGTCTGAATGGCTGGTGAATATTGATCCAAGTTCATAAGATAAATCAAATGAAGAAAAGCAGTTAACGACAATGAAATTTCAACATTTACTGAAGAAAATAGAAACAGCGACATGAATGTGCCAATTCTGTTCTGTTTTGCATACTTCTGTCATGAACTCCCCATAAATAAATATCTGCAAAATTCGCCCGCACTGAAATAACAATTGGGTGTGTTGCATAATAAATAACATATTGAACATTTTGCTGTCCTAACACTGAGTATAATTTTTTAATTGTAATTTGTATTTTGACTCACTCTACGGGCTTGTCAAAATATTGCACAATTTGTAAAAGTGATACTACACAACCGAACTTATAATAAGTTATAACCCACCCATTAATTTTGGCATGATTTTATTGGTTAGTTTATGTCACATGGTGCAAAATCACAGGACAGTTATCACACAATAACCCCCATCTACGTTGAAATTTGTCCTCTGATTTTTTTTCCGTGAAAAGAAACATAGTCAACACAAGAGTTTCAACTTTTCCGTTCTCCTATTTACGTGGAAGGCAACCAAACTCGTTTTTTTTTTATTGTTTGCTTGCGTCAATCATGTGCATTTGCCATCAGATCACCACTGGCATTTTTACTGTTTACGTGCAGTTTAATTGCAATGTGAAAATTAATGGGAGGGTTATAAAATGAATAAACCCCGTTCTGGCTTGCTGGTATGTCGGCTGATAATGTCCTTGGCTGAGAGATTGTCCTCAAAATTTCATATTTGCCCTCGAAGCTTCACTTCTCGGCCAAATATTCATTTTTCGAACAACCTCTCAGCCGTGGACATTATCAGCCAACATACCAGC